GGGAGTTACAGGAATTGTCAACCACTGTGAATTATTAGAATTGATATGTGAATCCTTCAATGGTGGATAGAGGAACTCCAGCTGCTTTCCAGATCACATATTTGTCAAATATAACAAAACTCCCAGTCCTATTGAAACTAATAATGGCATGGAGGGTAGAGTTCGAAAGATGAAATTGAACAACATTGATTTGAACATGGTATCCTAAGGTCGAGAAGATTTATGGCCTTGGAAATCAGTATGTGATGACTACAAAAATGATTCTCCAATTATGTGATCCCATGTGTGAAAAAAAAATCAAAATTTTAACAAATTTCATATAAAAAACCTAACTATTTTTGTATATTGACACCTGACAGAACGGTTATTCCTATTAATCACTAGTATTATTTATGTAAAATGATGGTGTGATGTTATTTTAATCAAGAAATCACCAAGTAATGGTAGATGTTAGTTTTTGTTTTTCTATTCTATTTTCAGTTTATTTTTTATAATATGTTTTTGACTTTTAACAACTTGAATCTTGTTGGTTTTCAACTCTCAGACGAGTACTTTTTCTAACAAGTAGGCACCCGAACACAGTCACCATCTAGTTCCAGTAGGGAACCAGAAGTATAAAATTTATCTTTATAATTGTTTGTGTAAAAGGCATGAATACCCTCATCAACCCCAACATTGAAAATAACCCAAACAACTTGTCCAATTCCTAATGAGTTGCCTCTTGACCATGTTTTATTTATATCTTCATTAAGATTTTTTTTCAGAGTCGTACAGACCGAATTGTATTCAAGCTATTTGGAAAAGATCCTAATGAGTTGCCTCTTGTTCTCCAGAATCATAGTTTTGCAGACTTTGGGTTTTGGTTATTAATTATTATTACTGGATTAGGTTTAACTAATTTTGTGTAAATTTCAGATTCTTGACTGGTTGTTACACAGTCGTACTGATATTGAAAGTTACATTCAGCCTGGATGTATCATATTAGCAGTTTATCTTTGAATGGACAATTCCTATTGGGATGAGGTAAATCAATCTATTCAGCAAATATCTTGTTATGATGGATCAAATAAACTTACACCTTTTGTTATGATGCAACTTTTCTATGATTTGAGCACCCATTTAAGCATCCAATAATTCTTGCTAGAGAACGGGATGGATTTATACTATGCCAGTTCTTATCAGTGTTTACATGTTTTATTTTATTACATCAGTATCATCAACTATTTTATTTTTATCTAGACCATTGACCCCCAACATGGACCAAGTGCTACTTGGAAATTGCTCATATTGGTACTTGTTCTTATTAGTATTAGTTGTCAATTGCTAATGTGTTGAATTATTTTATGCAGTTGTCAACTGTCATGGTTGCATACGGAATGGAGTTGTATTCTGAATCGTGCACAGTTACATATGAGCCTGTTAGAACCATTCATGGCATTCAGAAGAGTTATGCTTCAAATTTTAAGTTGTAAGGACTATACTGTCCAACATCTTTAGGAAATTTGTACACCAAATGATAAGAATCATTCTCCTGGAAATCTAGATGTTGCAAGTGAGAAAATATAGGCTTTGGAATCTTACTGGAACATAGAATACTACATTTAGTTGGATTTTCTCAATTGCTTTATGTGATTTTTTACCAATGCATCATGTAATCTTATTGCTTATTTATCCATCACTTATTTTCTCGATTGACAGGAGCTATACTATGACTTTGATCTTGGTGTATCACCAGTGAATTTCCGTGATATTTTGCTGCATAGTCAGGCTCTTGAAGGCATAACAATGTTTATGGTAATTAATCCTCAGAAAAGTCTTCTCTAGTATTTGTACTGATATTCGTTTATAAATAGTAAGGCACCTAAAGTCATTTCATAATTTCATGCGAATTTTAATCTTTTTGTTTGTCTTTAGTTCATGATACATTCTTTGAGTACTATATCAGTTGATTATTGTTGCTGATTCATGGAGTTTAACCGCAGGTTCACTCTTTTCTTCCCTTAGGAGTTTATAAATAGTTCATGATGCTTTAACATCTGTTTTCTTGCGATATGGAGCTCTTTGTTCACGACTATGGCTGAACCTGTTGATGTTGTTAATTTAGTCGTCCATGACTTGTTTGAGGAAAGTCCTTAATGAACGCCAAAACCTTTTTTCTTCGAAGCTAATTCCACCCATGTCAAGGAGTACGTGTTTGATGTTTCTTGTTCTTTTCCTCTTTATTTTTATAACTTGTTGCGACTGGAATATTCTTTATTTTTATGTTTACAATTTCCCTTCCATCTGATCTTAGATTAACTTTGCACCAATTTGGATGCAAATCTATAAAAAAAAACACCCATAAAAAGATGTTCGTTTTTTTTAATATCGCCAAAGTAGTTGTCAATTTTTTCTTTCATTACTTTTGCGATAATAAAAAGGCCCTCGTCAATTTTATTATTCATACATTCTTTCAATAACACTAGAATAATACAAACCAATTTACTGATTAGTTGATAAAGAATGAAATCAGGAAATCTGGAAATCAAGCAAAAAACAAAAATCAATTTACAAATAGAAAAATTTTACCTTTTGAAGTGAAAGTAAATCAGGAAATCGGAAATAAAGATATCTCTGCGTTTTGTCAAAAGACAACAATACCCTGATTTTCTTCTTTGAATTATATTGTACGTAAAAAAAATAGTAATATAGCAATTACAAATATGATCCCTATAATTTACTAGAATTGCAAATTTAGTATTTTTTTTTTTGAAAATTTTAAATAATCATCCTTACTTCAGTTTTAATCGACAATTGTTCTCACCTCAAATAAAAAGATTTTATTTATCCTTTTCTAGTATTTTTCTTCTTTCTTTTTTATTATTATTTATATTGATATCAAGGTTCACTGAATGTTAGGTTAATTTTTTTAGTTGATTATAAGACACTATATGTTGATCTATGTGTTAGGTTATATGTTGGCAAGCTTGTTTTTAATTAATACGTTTACGGTTAAATGATCATTCTTGCTTACTTAGTAGTGGTGATTTTACATCATGCAGATGTATTGAAATCAGAAATACCAGAAAATCTACAAAGTTTGACTGTTCTCACTGCGTGCACTTCTAAAGGAGAGGGGTTTGTCTGTAAAAGGGAAGAAGGTATGTGAACACTCCCAATTCCTCCCTCTTCTTTTAAAGGGTTAAAATGGTAATTTAAGTTGTTTATTTAAACTACTTAATCATTCAACATTCAATTTTATCAATAAGGTAACTAGTTTTCAAAATTCTCATTTACTAACATTTTAAGGGAAGTCAGAACTCAGAAGGTATCTATATGCATATTGTTTTATCTTTTTCAAAGTAAATAAGATGCTAATTATGTATTTCTTTTTGACAAATTGGATTTGTGATTTGAAAATTGTAAATCTCAGATTAAGGGGAACACCTGTAATGGAGCTGATGATTGCTGTTGGAAAGGTTGTTCCTATTTTATAGCTAGAAACATGGAGTAGCTGTTGGTAGAGTGTATAAAGGGTCATTCATGACTTCTCTTGATATGGCAAGTTTGTTAAGGTCATTTTCTTTTCTGATGCAAAAAAAGTGGCTAATATCTTTGTGTTGTGTTGTGTAGGGTTTTCAATATATATAATGAAGGAAGAGCAAACAATTCTGCAACGCCTCGATGTTGCAACTAAGGCTCTGCATTGGCCTATTGGTGTTCATGGTTGGTAATTCCATTTGATTTGAATATATGATATAGTTATTAGTTAGTTTAAAATTACAATATAAATATTTGGTTGGTGGATATATAAGACATGTACAGATTGATTTATCTAGAGGCGCAACAACTATTTATCAAGACTTGAAGAAGTAGTACCCATGTTAGCAATGTATTATTTTTGTTTAACATTTGAATGATTCTTTGTATGACATTATAACTTGTGCAATTTATTTTATTTTTTTAGTATGAAATTTTATTTTATATTATGCAATGGATTGTACTTTTTGTATATGGTATTTTATTTCTATTATGAGAAATTAAATGCAAATTTAATTTAAAAATTAATAAATATATAATTTTTTTAACATTTAAATTTACGATACGCAAAAATGTGTGTCATCCTCATTTATGACATGGCCTTTCTTGACAGGGGCTTTGTTGATACGCATTGCGTGTCATTAACAAGCGCGTCGTAAGGTTACGACACGCGAATACGTGTCTTCTTCCTTTATGACATGGCCTTCCTTGATAAGCATTGCATGTCGTAAACGCGCGTCGTAATTGGGCGTCATAAATGCGCGTCGTCTATAGACGACGCGCAAAAGCGTGTCGTCTCTCTTTATGGCAGGGCCTTCCTTGACGAGCATTTGCGCGTCGTTTGAGCCTTTTACGACGCGCAATGAGCGTCGTAAAAGGCTGTTTTTCTAGTAGTGTTATAAAAAATGTACTCATGAATTGATTAATATAAAAAATGGGCATTTAAAACAAAAACACAAATAAACCTTTTCCTTCCATGGACCCTTGTATTTAGGGTTTGGAATAGTTGGAACAATCCACTCACAATCTTCCACATCATCCCAATCCTCTAGATGCAATTTTAGATCATTATAATAAAAAACTAACAAATCACATAACATTAAAAAATAATAGAAAATTAAAAATTAAAAACCCCACCTTTTTAGCATCTGGATCTGGAATCTCCTTTGGGATGTCATCATAACCTTGGTAATCAAACAGAGCATATTGAGTTTTTTATTCCACATGGATCTTAAAGAGAGAATCAGTCAAACTAAATGGAATTTGATAGAATCAACAAATAAAACAAGCCGTTAATGTTATATTACCTCAGGCTTCTTATCTTCAGGATTAGAAATGTATTCGTTCCCATCCCAATCTTTAGGCTATCATCATCAACAATACAAAAATTAGTAACATTGAAAGCAAATGAGAACATTCTTTAGTCACTACAAACATGTAAAACATTTGAAATTTACCTTTTTGGCCTCTGGGTCCTTAATCTACTTTGGTGGGAGAAGATCCCAGTCCTTATACAAGCTTCCTGTTTGTTTCTCTGCATCGTCAATGAGGATACTGTAAGTAGCATCAGGGCGTAGAATAAAGGTATAAACATGTGAAAGTTGATCAGTTTCTGAAGGAACATCTTTCTTGATCAATTTGTTTTCTCCATTGTATGTGAGAATTGCATGAACCTTCTTTGTTGCATACCCACAAATATCAGGTCCAAACATGATACTACATTCAAATATAATATTAAACTTTCAGAAACAATAACAGGAGAAAATATAAGAAACATTAAAGAGAAATTTTGTATTTATATGTAAATAACTTATAAGGGGTATCGCCACCAAATTTCTTTTGATCCACATCACCACTAAGCAATTTCATGTATCCACCACCACAATCAAGATTTTGCTCATGTTTGATAGAAAATTGGAAGACTAAAGTTTTATCCTTGTTGTTGAATTTAGGGTACACAGCAGATATGGCATAAAAATTTGTAGTCTTCACTAGTTTGTATACCTATTGTTAAAGGGAAAAACAGAGTTTGTCAATAGTCTATAAATTTAAAAAAAAATTAAGAATTTCTTTTAAAAGCAAATAGGACAACCTAGGTTTCTTTTCTTTCATACTTTTCTAAACATAATTGTAACACTTTTTTTGTTACAAAAGATAGTAATCTATTTTCCAAAATTGTTCATTCCAGAGCAATATTTTACCTATGATTTAAGACATAACTTTTTTAATATCGATTTTAGGGTTTGATTAGGAATCATATATAGTTTTCATTTGTATAAAATTAGGATTTGATTTGATTTGTGGGTTATAGTTTTAGATTTTGGTAGTGGTGATGATAACTGATAAGTCATGTCGAAGTAGAAATAAAAAAAATGGCTTCAAGAACGTATAAAAGTTAATTAAGAATTCATACATAATTTGTATTTAAATTCAGTACATAACCCTTTTGGTAAAATTGAAGTGTCTTATTATATGTGATGCCCATTCTTCTATAATCATAGGAAACATGGTGCTTCTAGATAAGTTGCTTCCAAAATTGAAGGAACATGATTCAAGGGTGTTGATATTCTTACAGGTTCATACTTTTAACATTTATATTTATATTTGTTATGCATCATGAAAGTATTGCTCATATTTTCTGGGAGAGGAAACCATGTCCTTCCTGTTCTTGCCTTCACCCTAATAAGTGGTGGAAAACATGTTGGGAACAATTTGGCTATAAGAGTAAGCTAGTTTATAGTTCCATATTTATCTATTTAATTGGTATATTTTGTTTCTTTGGAGAAAAAAGATTTGAAGAGGCAATGCAAATGGTTTCTGAGACATATCATTACTTAAAGGTAATATAATCCTATTAACTTCATCTATGTGATTTATTAATTGGATGCATATCATTCTTGAGTTATCTGTTATTTTTTCCTTCATATACAGGCATGTTTTTCTACCAATACACCATGATTGTAATGTGATATTTTTAAAAGCTTTGTTTGTGATGTTTGTGCTTTGATTTGATTGATTTTGCAGCTTTAGAGAAGGATTAGATCTTGTAAAGGAGGTGATTGACAAAACAGGTTATAATGGTAGTAGAATTCTCCTATAATAATAGTTTCTACTCAAGCATTAAGATGGCACTTTATCACGCTTTGTATGGGGAAAAGTGTCAAACGCCATCATGTTGGCTGGAAGTTGGGGAAAAGCAGTTTATGGGACCTGAAATAGTCCATCAGACTGCTAAAAAGTTGAAAGTGATAAGGAAAAGAATCTTAGCTGCTCAAGATTGACAAAAGAGTTATGCGACAAGAAAAGACAACCGATAACCTTTGAAGTTGGAGATTCGGTTTTACTTAAAGTCTCGCCTTGGAAGAGACTTATAAGATTTGGTAAAAGAGGAAAGTTGCGTCCAAGGTTTATTGGACCATTTAAAGTTCTTCAGAAGATCGAGAATCAAGGTTACAAGCTAGAATTACCGAAAGAACTGGAGGGTATTCATAACACCTTTCATGTGTGTTATTTGAGAAAGTTCACGAGAGATGTGTCCGACATAATTTCGATTTCTGAGTTAAGGTTGGATGAAAACAAGAGGTTGATCGAAGAACCTGAGGCAATTGTTGACCGTAAGACTATGAAGTTGAGACGAAAGATGGTCGATTTACTACTTGTGCGTTGGAAACATACAAATGGGTCAAATCTCACTTCAGAAATGGAGAGTGACATGATGAGTCGCTACCCGCAATTATTTGGTGATATGTGATTTCGGGGACGGAATCATCCTAAGGGGGAGAGAATTGTAACACTTGTGTTTCTAGCCTAGGCATTTATATTGAGGTAATAGTCTAGGTTAACCTTTGTAACTCATTTTGAAGAAATGAAAAAGGAATTATGTGAATTCTATGTGTTTTATGCTTAATTACTATGGTTTAATTAATTATGAATAAAAATGAGCATCAAAAATAAATATTACATAAAGCCGATATCTTTACATAAAGTTGTAACGGTCAAAACAAGGATTTCGGTGATATAAAGAATACCAAAATCCGAGTTATAACGAAGAAGTTATGACCTGTCAAAGTTTCGCGACAAAACCGGCACGGCGCTGAATGTCGTAAAAAGTGAGTTTTTGATAAACTACTTTTTAGCCTTATTGATCTAAACGAAAGTCGTAGTATTCGTTAAACCGAGAAGTTCGATAAAAAGAACGCCTAAATCTGACTTCATATGAGGAAGTTATGATTTTTCGAAGTTTAAGCTTAGCAGTAGACAGCTAAAAACTCGAATTTTAGATCGAGCGATTTCATCCGACACAACCTAAACGAGAATCGAAGGTCTCGTCATTAGTAGCACAATGGTAAAAAGTCTGATGAAAACGAACGTCGGATGAAGAAGTTATGAATTTTTAACGGATTTCCTGTCCCGGTTTGTTAAAAATATTAATATAAAAATTAAAGTCAAAGTTAGCCGACGAAGTTTAAACGAAAGTTGTAGAGCGTAATTTTACCTACGCGTGCATATAAAGAACGTCAAAAACAGAGCTCGTATGCGAAAGTTATGGATTTTAGAAATTTTTGGACAAAAACCGAGAAAATTCGCATGGGTGGACTTCGGCCACGTCACCCTCGCCCAAAATGTGCCACATGTTCGAAATGGTGAGTCATGCGAGCCACATGTCTAAGCTGCTGAGTCATCCGAGCTCCTGACCTTATCCGAAGTGGTCCAGTGAGAATCTGACACGTGTCCTCTTCCTCATGTCCGAAGCCCTCGCAAGCTGCTACAAACCCACCCTACTTCGGACCTAGACCTCAGTCCAATCACAGACTACCAGGGAGGCCTTCTCATGCGCAGCCCACGTGCGAGCCACCCCCTGCGAGCTCCGGATCTGCGATGCGTGGCTTCTCTCCTGACCGTCCGATCAGAACGCTCGCCCCTATAAACAGGAGGGTGCGAGACCTCCCGTGTATATTTTGGAATCTTGTCATTTTTAGCCCATAAACCCATATTTCATTCATCTTAACATCCCCAAAGCCCCGGTATTGATTATAAGCCTGGAATACTCCACGAAGTGCCCAAGAAGCCCGGAAAATTTATCTTTTCGGTTTCGAAGCCCGACCTTCGCAAAGTCTGGTTTCTTAATAAAACTCCCAGTTTTATTAGAAAAGATCATTTTAAGCAACGAATTGCTGCCCAATTATCATCAAATCATGTGAGTGTATAGTCACTTTCATTTTAGACATAGATATGAAGTATTTTATATAAGTACATGTTATGTGTGTTATATATATATATATATATATATATATATATATATATATATATATATATATATATATATATATATATATTGATTGTTTATTTGAGACAATTGTTGAATTGATGTTTTATACAAGTTTTAAACTGTATATGTTTTTTATCTACAAAATATTTTGGGTAGAACATGGGTAGATGAAATAGTTGATGTGTGTTAAAATGGTGAGAGGCCTCGATATTGTTGTTGTTGTTGTTGTCATCTAGTGGAGTATAGATGACGACCATGGACCCTTCCATCAAGTGGAACACTAGCAGGTTCGCAACTTGTAGGTGTTGATGAACTAAATGTTCATTGGTTTACTCCATCCCCCTCATGGTTGCCTTTAGGACATGTATAGCTGAGGAAACCCGTTAGCAGTAGTTTCCATCCCGATGATATTCCTTAGGCTAGGTCCCTTGTGATCGGTGTTTAGGGACGTAAAATGAGGACAACGGGAATGGGTAATCAGGGTTATTGTTGATTGGTGAACTTAATAAGTATATTATTAATGTGGGTTGAAAACCATATATGCTCACCAGGCTCCCAAGCCTAAACCACTCAGTTTTTATGTTTACAGGTAATGGACCCCGAGCATAGTCGGAAGCCGGGGAGAGATTTTTGATTATAGGCCAATAGTTGTAAATAATTGCTGAAAGGCTTATAATGTTTTGTTTATGCTTTTGATCTGTATCGGAACATGACATCCCGAGGTTTTGATATGAAATGAAACTTTACATTTCTTAAGGAAAGATTTTGATAAACTTTTATCATGTTTTGTTTTGGGGACCAATTCCGCAACATCTTTTAAAAAGATTTCTCTGATTTTATTATAAAAAGCATATATTAAATCGGTCTTTTTAGGCCGAGAAATTAGGAGATGTCACACTTGCATATGTAATGTATGTACTATTGTAGTGAACTCATAATAGTATCGTTGTATAGTTTCTCATAATAATAAGTATTGACTCATGAATGAACTGACTCTTTGTATGCTTCATTGAACTAGAAGTAATGAGTAGTATATCCCTAACTTTACCTATTATAGTAACTAGTAGAATCGTTTGTATGACTGAATGTATTCAACTGAGATAAAAGTCTTTATATCTATACATATATACATGATATATAACTAAGGATCCAATGACACTCGGACAAACAACAGGGTACTCTAAGTCCACAACCAAACAAGGAACAGGAAATAAAGTGAGTTGGCAGTCCAAAGTACTTCAATCCTTACTTATATAACTATATGTGTTTTAGACATGGTTTTAACAATATATAAGTTTGAAAGTTGTAATAGAAAAAGGTTTGATACATAAAAGTGTTGGGTTATGAGCATTCTAACACTCCTAAGTGTACATGCAACCCTAAATACCTTGGATCTATGTTTTCTCTATTATACATGCAAATATGAACATCCAAGGTATTATCCTAATCTAGCATACAAAATATCAATATAACAAGATAGAATACATACCTCTTTAATGGTGCTTGTCTTCATGAAGCTTGAGTGCTTAGTGCCCCAAGTGTGACACCTCAAATGGTTCACACAACACCAAATACACTTGGAATAACTTGAGAGAAATTAGAACACTTCATGAAATCGTCTAGCCCTCATACACACACATATAGTCACGATTTCTTGAGCCATGGGTTTCTTTTATATGGTGGCTATTAGGGTTACACCATGTAACTCATGACTTTACCCATTCCCTATGCTCCATGGATTTTAACCTCCATGGAGTATCCATGGGTCACCCCATGGACTTAGTCCAACATAAGGAATCTTGGATCACAAGCCCACATATATAAGAATGAATGATTTACACAATCAACCCATATATT